TAGCCCCCGGGAAGGCTTTTTTCATCCTAGTTTCATCCCTGTTAGTTTTTGTCTGGGACACGGCCCCTGAATGATTTCTTCACTGTGTATTTTTAAAGCGTTTTCCTTCTGTATTTTCTTTTTTCAATAATAATAACAACAACAAATTTAAAGAATAAAGTACATGACTACACAAAAGAAGAAAATGAGAAATGACATAGTAGATGGAAAATAAATAAAAATAAACATTTTAAGCTTGCCCAGTAATTTATTTATTTATTATTAAATTTGTATGCCGCCCACCTCCGGGTGACGGTGACTCTGGGCAGCTCAGAGTTGGCAATTGAAGCTCACCTTTTTTAGGGAAGGAGAAATAATGGTTTTTTTACTCATGAACTTTCCAGAGTTTCTTTGATTTTTTTTTCATTTATTATTTGAATTAAAATGTTTTAGGCCAAGGTCTTGGCTGTGTAGAAAGGGAGAAGTACACCCCATAACACCAAATTCAAAATTTTCAGGAATCAAACCTACACAACATAAAACAATAACTAGCCATAGATGCCTCGAAATTCTCTTTAATCTCATCTTCCCTAAATGATGTGGAAGGACTGCTTTTCCTCATTTGGAAACACTTTCAGCAACTTTATCTGTGTTTATTTTAATTTCTATCTTGCATACTGCTGGAAAAACTTCATGCAGTTCATAAAGATACTGGAAACCATCCAGTGGTTTTGTAACACTGAAGCTTTTTTATCTACTTTTCCCAGTCCTCCCTTGCTTTTTAATCTGACTCTGCTGGGCTTTTAACAGGTTGCTGCCAAAATAAAATAAAAATTAGATGAATGATTTCCTAGCTGAGAGATAACAACTACTTAGTACCTTCGTCATGGCTGTCAAAGAAATACAGGACTGAGGCTCAACTAAGAAATGTTAAAATCCTATACATTATTTAAAGGGAATGTTGCTGTTAGTTCCTAGCAGGATTTTGTTCTGAAGTCAGGATGGGGAAATGCATGGATTTACAGCTCACTTTAAGGGAAAAGTACTTAGAAATCTGAATATAACAGGTCCGCTTTTGCAATCAGGCAGGACCGCTTTGTAGATTTTCTGACTTTTTAAAAGGTGAAACTGAAAACCTGATTTTATTTGGCTTACATGACTTAACCATTTTTATCACCAGCATTGCAAGCTGCAGTTTGCTCCCCACCTGGAGGAAAACTGCCTGTTACCAGCTCTGCGTCTGACTCTTTGGCTGAGGCACAGACTCCAGGGGAATTTCAGGAAAAAGGTAGCAACTGAATAGGGATTTTTTCAGTGAGAGGTTTTGCCCAACTCTCACCTTTCCAGCCATCACTGGAACAGATTCAAGGGACCTCAAGTGGGAAAACCTGCTTGATCAGAATCCTGGTTTGGTCACATGACTCTGAAGTCCTAGCTAGCTTCCTGGAAAGGTGAGAAATTAACTCACCTCTTTTCTGTGTAGAAAGGGGAAAGAGCAGAACCTTTGCTGAGGTCTGAGTAAGTAAGAATTCCCTTGTAGGTATTCTTTGAAAGGTCCAAGAACATGCTGGGTTTTCTTCTTCCTGGGAAAAATTAGCATTCATGCCTTGTTCCTGAATAAAATTCAGGTTAATACAGGTGTAGCTATAGTGTGTAAGTTAATTGTAAACCAATGGATGGGGGGGGACTTACCTTTTGTTCTGCAGAGCCCAGCTTTCACACCAGAATATGAAATTGAGAAAACCACGACAATACATATGTCAGTGTGATTTCTCTCTGCTTTAATATTTTGCTTGTATTTCGCTGAACTTGCGGACATCTCTTCCTTTTCTGGCAACAGTCACCATCTCTATGAATGTTTAAGCCTAGGAAGATAAACTCTATTGGTAATGCAACTTCTTTTCTACCTGCTTACAATGAGTGGACACTACAAGATTTTGCAAACTCTTCAGCAAGAGATTCCTTAGATCTTCCTTGCTTCCAGCCATCAAAACAGTATCATCTTCCTCTCTGGGTTGTTGATGCTTCTTCCAGCAATTTTTAATTTCCATTTTTTCTAGCCCAGTATTTCTCATTATGGATGCTGTGTGTGAGTTAAATAGAGTGATGATATTCTGCTTCTGCTTCTCTCAATCATAACATGCTATGTCCAAACAAATAAAGGAGAGTTTGCCTTAATCCAGTGCTTCTCAACCTTGGCAACTTTAAGATGGGTGGACTACATCTCATGTAGTCCATGCTGGCTGGGGAATTCTGGGAGATGTAGTCCACCCATCTTAAAGTTGCCAAGGTTGAGAAGCACTGGATTAACATAACAGACTAGGTTCCTGCTATAATGGTTGGGCTCTGTAATGTAGTGCGCTCAATCTCTCAGTGTACCCTGACATAAGAACATAAGTGCATCAGCCGTGCCCTGTGGATCGGACCCCTGGCCCATCGAGTCCAGCAGTCTGTTCTCACAATGGCCAACCCAGTGCACGAGGAAGCTCACTGGTCTCCCAGCAGATGGCCTTCAGAGGCCTTCATCCATGAATCGGTCCAACCCTTTGTTTTGGTCGGTAGCCAGGTGGTACCAACCAAGTGGTAGCCAGCATCGCATCTAACGACATTTCATACACACCCAAACAATTTTTTTTTTAATGCAAGAAGGCTGTTTCTTTTTCCTTAAGGAAACCCTCCAGAAGGCAGACTACAACTTTAGCAAGTTTTTTTTTCTTTTAATTTTTCTTTTATTTTATGTCAACAGGTGTACAAATGGTAACATCTCATCAGGTCACATCAAGGCATTCTTACATCCTTACAGAAGAAGGATATTATTAATATTAAAATACTGCACAGTTTCTTTTTGCAATGCTTAGGTCTTCCATAATCTGTCACAGTGCAATATAGGTAGTTGATTAATGTTTCATTGTAAGAGTACTTTACAAAATCATACTGTACAGAAAAAAATCCTTCTTTTCTTCAGTAGGTTTCAATGTGTTGTGGAATTTTTGCCAAAGACAGGAGCCCAACACTGAGGAGAAGAACCAGGTTTATTGCAAGGATTATTGGTGCCTGCTTTCCAAGAAAGAGGGGCCCTGAATGATAGAAAAGCACAGAATTTATACACTTTTGAGGTTGAGAGGTGGGAAATCTGAGGGCTCTGATTCGAGGATAGGTTTGGATAGGTGTTAAATGGGGGATAAATGGCTTTTCTATGGTGAGATAAGAACCAGGGCAAACCCTTAAGCAGACAGGTGATGGCCCTCCCATTGCTTCAACAGGATAGTGTGAAGAGGGCTATTTCTGGCAGTGGAACATGGTCACTCTTGGGTCCTGCAATAGCCTGGAGCTGATCCTGTTTTGCATGAGCAAAGAATGGCAGAAGGAAGTGGAGGAAAGTTTGCAGGAGA